TGCTCGGGGGCCCCTGCCTGTGGCTGGCAGCTGAGCCCGGGTTTGCTGATTACAGCGCCTGAGCCCTTGCACCCCCCCCGGGGCTCCATGCGTGGTGGGGGACACAGGGTTTGCTGTCTCCAGCCTCCTCTCCTCCTGCCATTAATGGCAACTGGGTCTGGGACCACAGCTGGGACCTGCCTGCCGGGGCAGTGGGGACCTAGAGGATGGGGAGTCCTCCAGAGCAGGGATGGTGGGGACCCTGAGGCAGTGCCCCCCTCCAGCCCTGGGGAAGCAGACCCCCGGTGAGCCCCTCGCCGAGCCAGTGCGGGCTGTCGCCCACACTGCTGCCCCAGCTGGACCCAGCACCTCCCCAGAACCCCCTGGGCTCCGGCCCCCCAGGCCCTGATGACACTGGGCGCTTGGGGTTGGCTGTGCCACAGCCAGTGGCCCCAGCTGGACACCCGCACCGGTTTTGAGGATGAGGAGGTGCAGGGCATCATCGCGCAGGTAGGATGCCGCAGCGATCTCGTGGGTGGGGATGCGCAGGATCAGCTCCTCATTGTCGCGCCAGGTGAGCAGGAGGCAGCGTGCCGAGAGGCTGAGGATGCTGTCCTGCTCCGGTGTCGTCTGCAGCGGCAGCTCCTTCAGCTGCTGCGGGGGCAGAACAAGTGCCAGGGACGTGAGGGCACCCAGCAGTGTAGGGGGGGTGCACCGGTGGTGTCAGGACCCCTCTTACCCTGGCCGTGTCCAGCAGCTGCAGCACCTCATCCCGGCTGGAGGGGTTCAGGGAGGCTGTCACCCATGTCAGGTGGCCTAAAAACTGGGGAGGGGGGACACAAAACCCAGTGCAGCTTGGTGGGGGCTGGGGCCAGGGGGCTATGCATCCTCCCCACCCCATGGCCCAGAGTGTCCCCCAGGGCACCCACATCCCCATGGGCAGAACGCATTTCCCTGGGGTGCAGGGTGACCCTGCACTGGGGGGGTCCTCCCTGCACCCACAGCCCACCTTCCCCCTCCCTCGGTGTTGCCCAGTTGGGGAGGGGACCAGCACCCTTCTGGCTACCGTGGATGGTGGCCCTCTGTGTGGTGTGGTGGCCTCGTCACCCCTGTCATCCAGACAGGGACCCTGAGCATCCCTGGGGAACCCCCTCCCCCTTACCTTCACCTCCTTCTCCACATAGTCATGCAGTAAGATCTGGGGGTCAATCAGGTAATCGGGGGGATAGAGGGGCACCGAGTGTAGTGGCCGCCGGTAGACGCTGCTGCGGAGCACCGGCCTCCGAGCCGCTTTGGGGAAAACCAGCCGCTTGATGGGTGACACAAAGCCCTGGGAGGGAGAGTGGGCATAGGGACACCTCAGCACAGGGCACCCAACCCCGGCACCCATGCAGGGGGTCCACACCCCGCGCCCGAGGAGGGGCTGGTCACCTCTCTTCTCGCTGACCCCAAATTTGCACCATTTGGGCAGTTCCGGGGACAGCGGGTGGGGATCCCACCTCTCCCCACTGCGCCACAGGAGTGGGTGCAGGGCCCCTCGTCCCGGTATCCCTGTGTGTCTCGCTCACTCCCACCCTCCCACCAGCCCCCTGGGACACCAGCCCCAGGCCCACGCACCTTCTTGCCCTTCTTGGCCTCGCAGTCCATGGTGGGGCTGCGGCGCTGCCTCCAGGCACGGCCGCCCTCACCGCCCCGCTCGGCGCCGCTGCCTTTTCCTGTGTCGGAAACTCCACCAGGACGGCTGGGATGTGAGTTCCTGCCCCTCCTGGGGGGTGCGGGGACTGGGCTGGCCTGGGCTGGGACTGGGACAGGACTGGGACTGGGACAGGACTGAGACTGGGACTGGACTGGACTGAGACTGGGACTGGGACTTGGACTGGGGATGAGACTGGGACTGGGAGCGTGATTGGGACTGGGCTGGGAGTGTGATTGGGGCTGGGGCTGGCACTAGGAGTGGGGCTGGACTGGTATTTGGGCAGAAACAGGAGCTGAAGTAGGCTGGAGTGGGACTGGAGTGGGGGCTTGGACTGGGACTGGTGCTGGGGCCGAGCTGGAACTAGTGCTGGGACTGTACTGGGATTTGGGCAGAGGCAGGGGCTGAAGTAGGCTGGGGTGGGACCGGAGCAGGGGCTGGGGCTGGGGCTGGG